AATCCTGATGCGCCTCCCGCATCTATACAAGGTGACACCTTCTCGAGTCCGCTGGATCCTTTGCTGATATAGAATAATTGTTAGATTTGCGTGTCGCGCAGGTTCGCGCAGTCTTCACTTTGCCACAAACATTATTAAACCGGTATTTCGACCCTCAGAACCCTCCACCTCAGCATCTCGCCTATGTCGAGTGGTTTTCGACCTTCAGCGCTTTACCAGATCCACAGTCTGGGTTGTATAAGGTCAGGCGGGTGGTTCGCGATGGCGAACGCCAAGTGTCAATTGTGCCCATATCTTTAATTTGTCGAAGTGCTCACTTATTGCCTAAGTGGGGAGGAGCTGTTCCTGCGGAGTGGACGAGTTTAGATGTTCTCGATGCATGCCCCTCATTTCTTTTGAACGTTTTCAAAGACATGTACACTTACTTCAATGTAGGATAGGACACGCATCGTGAACATGTAGTTTTACATGGTGATAACTGAAAAAAACTGAGTAAAGTTAAGCAAAACAATGTAAAGTCGAGCAAAACAATGTAAAGTCGAGTAAAACAATGTAATGTTGTGTATATATGGGTAATTCCCTGGGGAGGTTTTTCCTGATGTGGAGCTTGAGCACCAAATGTTGGAGTTTCTCCAAATTGATGCGGAGTGCAATGCTGATCGGAGGTTGGTTGTGTGGGATAATAATGGCATCGCAAGACGACTTGCTTGCAATGAGTACGACAATAGGCCCATCACGAGCTGCATCTTGAAGATCGGAGAACAAAGGGGGAAGTAGGAAGCGAGAGAAGCCCTCATCAGGAAAATGCAAAATCTATGTAGGCGAGCACTACCTATATATACCTACTTAGACAGCACCATCCTACATAGGCGTCTTGTAGGACATGTAGGTTTTGTAGACACCAATGTAAGCAAAACAATTAAACAATATAAATGACTGACTCACTGTACCTCGTTAAGTTTTTGAAAGCAAACATGTCCTCGCTGAACAAGCGGTAAGGACCACAAAAAAACTCACCATGCGCCCACTGACTTTTCTATAGTCTGCGTTCACCATCCCCGGAGACTGGTGGACTCGGAGATACACATTTTAAAAGGTACAGTACCCTCACGCTTGAATAATGTTGCTGCCGCTACCAACGTCACTGATCTTGCAGGGCCAAACGACTCGGAGAACTCAAACGGCGGATTCCATTGGAGGTAATCCAGAAGCGCCTGGATAACTCTCCCTCCCCACTTCTTTTCAGCGACTCCGCAGCTGCCGACATGAATCCGCCGACACCAGTAGCCGTGGTATTGATATATTACTCACTGGTAGTGTAGTGTAAATGTGATACAATAGTTGCTCACTGCCATAGCTCCCAGTGATATATGAATCTATTACACCTGCAGCTCCCTCTAGTTCCCTGCTCCAAGCGCTATTAGCTGATTCATCTGAGATCTATGGTATGTGACTTGAGATCCATCATAGATGGTCTCGTTTTTGGCATTCTGCGATCTGTGATCTCCGCCCTTACCATTCTCCAGCGTTGCTTCTTTCCCCGCGTTAATATTAAGAACAATCACGCGATATATGTATATTTATAACTGCAAGGGAGCGTCAATAGTAGGTGTATCTACCTCTCCGCTCTCTGGAATCAGGACACCACCAGAGACAAGGGTAGGCACATCACTCCACAGCCTTTGAAACTTGGCTATCAGCAGCACACGCAGTGCAGACTGGCGACACGCGTACGCTGACAGTCCCTCTTGTGCAGGTGCTGAGTTGAGCGTTCGGAGAGTTATGCGCTCCTTCCACCAGGACCCTTGCCATCTCAAAAACACCAGCACTCGTCTCATCTCTTCTAGCAATAACTCCACCTCCTCCGACCACCGGTGTGCGCGGGCACGAGCCTTGCACCATTCCAAGCGGACACCTATCAAAATGTCAGATAAATGTGAGTAAAACATACCATACACTTACAATCCTGTATGCGTTCATTTTCTGTACAGCTGTTATCAGCACGGGAGTCTAACCAAATCCAGGAGATGGTTCCTCTCCCTTGCTGCTCCATGTCACCCATAGGCTTAACATCGGAGTCAAGAAGTGGGCGCATGGTGAGCTCCCAACCGCACTTCTCCAGACGGTGGCCAAGAGACAGCAGGGCACTGCGCGCACGTCTGTACTTCAATACACTGGCGTGCTTCCTCGATTCCACGGCATCAATGATTTTCTTGGCGCGAGTGGAACCCGCTTGACCACGGACATTTTTATCCTTGTACTTGTACATGTGGGATCGAAGCCGGAGGTGGGAACGAACTTCGTTCAGGGCATCGAGGGCCTGCGCGTAGCGTAGCTCCCACTCGTGGCCAGCGAGCGTCAGGTCTACGGGGGTGCCAGCTGGAAGTTGCGAAGGGAGCCACAGGTTGAAGTCTTCAGGTTTGAGTTCCTGTGGCCTCCCACTAGCCTCTGATGATCGATGCCGGAGTTGACAGACAACCGGCATGTATAGCTCCTGGATGCGGGCCCAGGCATCAAGCCGTCGTTGGAGGGAGGCGATTTGAGTTTGTGTTATGGCCTTCTGATTGTCGGTGTCGTGGAGGGACACATTGGCAAGACTGGATCTTAAGCGTGCCCTGTAGAACTGTCAGTATGGCGTAGTGTAACAATGAATACAAAACTTACTGTTGATCCTCGAGATCCATGCCCGATGTAATCAATCCGCTTGGAGAGACATCGGTGTGAAGTGAGACATTGATTCCAGCTTGAAGGTCTTGAGCTTCAAGCTCAGTGAGTTGTAGTCGTACGGATGCCTGTGTAACCGCTACCATTTATTAGAACAACCACTGCAAAAACACCAGGATCACTTACGGTTAAACCGGCTTTCAAAGGGGTTCGGAGAGGAGTTATCCTCCTCCCAGGATTCCACCTCTGCCTTCCACTGCGCGATAAGAGCCGGCTGAATAGTCTTCTCCAGTTCCAAGAGGGCTTCGGAGTGCTCCTTCGTCCACTTTACAGCTTCAATCATCTTCTTATGCAATGTCCGCCCTAAGTCTATGTCAGAATTTGAGACTGAAAGAAAGAAACCGCTCACCTAATGCTGTAATTTTTTTCCAGTTCCAATCACCGAAGTGATCATCAAGAGTGTCCCGGCGTGCTCCCGGTCCCATTTCCTTGGTACTTGATGCCACTCGGTTTATATTGGACCAGCCCCGTTCAGGGGCTTCGCCGTCTGTTCGGCCCACGTACCTCGACCAGTTGAAAGAGAAATTGGTGCGACACTTATCGATGTGGGCCTGGATGTGGAACTTCGGCACAAAAAAATGTATGAGGGAAGATTCGCGGGGGGGAGAAAGTCGTTCCGGCATTGTTTCCATTCGAGTCCAGAGTCTCTTGTGCCACTGGCAGGCGATGTCGTAGGATATGTTGATCATGGACATCGCGAGGATGAAGAGCGCAGAACACATGATATAGTCCATATTAATGTACCTGAGTAACATCAGCCTTAAAACATTCCAAATGCAATATAATACATACCGTTCACCCTTCTGCAGGTCTCCAACTCCGTTTGGGAGCTTCATATCGTGCCTTGCGCAGTCGATCGTCCCAACTCCTGTTGCAGCAAGCCCACGGGAGGACTTGGTATCCGCCATGTTAACTGCATTGTGGCTTACACACGTGCTTCGCTACAGAAAAAGTCTAAGTTGAGAATTATCATTGAAAACATGTTACTTACCTCTTGCTTGTCGGAAGCACGATCTGCAAGGTAAGATTTGTATGAGTCTTCGTGCACAAAATACGCCCATCCAGCATTAAGGCTAGGGTCAGCAGTGTCAGAAGACACCGCCTTGCGCTTCAATCTAAAGTTCGCATCGATTGCAACAAACAGCGCATATTTCCATCTGCTCAGATAACGTGTGAGCTCAGCAAAATCAGGGAAAGACGACCAACATCTTACCTGGTAAATAGAGGCTCCTTCTCCCAGTCTAGTGGAAGATTCTTCCCGGGCTGTGGGCACGCGGGGCAGAGAAACAGCTAACTCTCCTTCGGGCAGTAGCAATTGACACCAGCGGGGTCGTGTCCCCCTTCCTCCGCGGGAAAGTGCTTGAGGTTACGCCATTGGCGTACCATCCGCATGAAAGCGGAATAACGATCCTAGAATATATCATCATCAGACAGTTGCACGAATAAATTAAAATACTCACCCTGATTGCTACTAACCCTGAATTGTCGGTGCGCCTTGCGAGCGACTGGTAGAACTCGTAAGCAGATACCTTGCTTTCAAAGGATAGAATATGAAAATGCTGCAGAACCGTAAAGGTTGCTGCAGTTCGAGGCTCTGAGACTGTGGCTGGATACCACCGCATACGTAACAATTGTTTATTATACCCGAATCTGAGCCGAAGCGCAGCCACAAAAGTCCAGGGCGATTTCATGAATACCATCGAGTGCGATGACCCACAAAATCATCACCGGCAGCGGGAGAAGGTTTGTAGCACCTTTCTCCTGGGTTATGGCCTAGTTGTACCGAACCCCGAGCTGTTTGAGTGTGATACGCTGAAAAAAAGTCCCATTCCATATCTGACCAAGGATTCCAGTCATACGTTGATATGCCAAAATAAGTATGAAACACACCTCAATCCTATGCAAAGGATGAAGAACGTGGTTTTGAAGTGTACATTCACGGCAGAATATTTGAATGCCATGGCAGGTCACAGCATCGGAATTGAGGCGATACTGCACCACATGAGCAAGTGACACCTTCAGTCCCGCGTCCATTGAGGCGCAGCATTTCGTCCAGGAAGATTTGACGTTGTCCAATCAGGCGAGCAAAGGTCTGTCCTTAAGTCCAATAAGTTAGCATGCCCAAACGAATATCAAATGAGAACACCCACTGCCGCGGGTCTCTTTGCGCTTCTCCGTGGAACAAATATCAACAATGTCGTCTGTAAGTGTTTCGTCCTCAAATTGACAGTCGCTGGGATGCTCAACGCGGTCATCTATCCAAATATGTTGTCGTTTGATGGAATTTTCGGGGGGAATTCCAGCAACATAGTGTGTTTGCAGCCGTGTGCTCCCTTCAGCGGTAATCTCTGCTGCACGAAGTCGTAAAAGATGAGGTTCGGGGTTGATAGAGACGGGGACAAAAACCTCCCGTTCAAGTGCAGGCCTCTTGGGGGGGCGACCACGGGGCATTGTGCACTGTGGTTAATCTGTCAGCTCAGTCGGGTAGTCAGAGGATCCTCCATTTGTAATTGGAGGATCCCGCCAGTATATAATAATGGACAAATTTGTCCCTCCTCACCCACCTCGTGAATCATGGTAACACCATTGAATGATAATGCCATCCCACCGGCAACCGTTGAATACTTGTTGCGCCCCCGTCGAAGTGAGCCCATTGATAGTGATATCTTGCCACATACCTGACATTCAAAAACAGACCACAATCCGCCCCCAGCACATGTGTCTTCGGAAATTCGTTCATACATAATGCGATATAATCGAACCCCAACCAGAGGGCCGATTTTCACGCCTGTGCAGAAGGACTGGTTGAAAGATCATATACCACAGTATATGCAGTGGCCTCCTACCTCAGATGAGACGATCACATTCGTACAGACCATGCTTATTGATTTCGACCACATGTGGCCTCTTCACCAGAAGTTGTGGCCCGGGTCGAATGTTCACATTTTGCTAACCGACAGCATGCATGCCAAATTGACGGCGGAGATGCTGATTCTTCGAGGGGTAAGTCAGCTGTGCACGTAATATGCACTATGACTGACCTTGATGCAGAATATCAAGGGCCACATGCTGTGGACAACGCGACGTAATCTGCGTCGCGAGAAGAATCGAACGGGAATTGAGCCGCGGAAATGGTTCTGGTACTGGGGTGTCGGGCAAGCTTAGAAGATTGGTGGATAGTACTAGAGAATCCACTTACCTGCTAGACCATACATGAGAGCTTGAGCGCGATCGATCAGTGATTGATGATCCCCGATTCCGATGTTGATGGAAGCTGTGATGGATTTGCCAAGATTAGTCAGCTGGTGCCACGTGGATTATTACTAATATCTGGCACTTTGCAGTGATCCGCCATTTCCCAAATCCAAGGAAGTCATCCCATCCTCCATTTCTTGGACGTCCGACCCCGCCGGCCTATGGAGTATAAATTCAGAACGTGGTGAGTGATACATTATCTATCTATTCAAGGTACTCACTTAACTCACTCCCATGACTCAGAAACTGCCTTCCTCCAGTCGGACAGATACCATGGTATCTGTCCGACTGGACGGTCTCATCAATCTTCTCCAGTGTCTTTCCCTCGACGATCAAAAGACACTATCTCAGGCCTTAGACATTGGCACGGACACGGGCACCGATGGTGATACATCCAATGGTGAATCCGTTGATTCTTTTATATTTTCATTACTCATGTAGCTTCGGCAATGTTACAGATAACATCACCGTCAGAATGGGCCTGGGCCCTGCCGCTGGCAGCACCGAAATGGCATTGGCTGCTCTTCCCGCTGTCTCTGATGACCCCCCTGCTACAACCATTGACAGTCCCAGGGAAGCTGCACCAGTTGCTTCTCCTGGCGCAGCTGCTGCCCATAGTGCTGGCACCACTCCTACTTCTGCCCCCGCAACTGCACATGCTGCTCCCACTGTGGTTGTTCCTGCAGGGCATGTCACTGTCTATGTCGATTACGAGGAAAACGACTCCTCTGATGACGAAGATGCGGCTGCTGCAGCTGCTGCACTTGCGAATGATTCCACATTGATTCATTACCGCGATACCTACTTCAATGTCCCAGTTGATGCCACCCCGCCGCTCTATTATGTGACTCGAGGTCGCAATCGGCATCTTTTCAGGCTGGTGAGCTGGATTTTCCGAATTTCTCATGTCTAGTAGCTCATTTCTTCATTGTAGGGATGCAACCGGTCCCAAAGTGCTCGGTGTCTCTCGAGCCATCTACCACAAGGTGGATTCCATCGAGCAAGGGATAAACATCGTGAAGGGTGCAATTGATCGCGGTGATGCTTCGCAGGCCTTGTAGCACATGATTATTTAGTGAATTTTGTGTATGTCCATAGCTGTCGCAAAATGAACGGTTTTTCTTGAATGTCGGTGTGCTTCGTCTGATCAAAACATATTGCAAACAAGTATTACATTAATGAGAGCATACAAGCGCCATGCCTATCAAGAACATTAAACTTAAGATATAAACCCTACACTGTAGGCATGATATTCGTAGAGTTCAATTTTGAAGGATGGTAAGAGAATGGTAGGATAAATTCGCATAAAAATCCAAATTAATCTCCTACGTGAAGCCATTCAAAACTCCTACGCATATATTGAGTGCCTCAACTGGCTTACTTTCAACCCACTTTTATGCACATGGCACGACCACGTCTACACAACACTAAAGAAGAAAAGGCAGAAGCTGCACGCTTATAAACGAGCTTACTATGCACGGTACTTCACTCACTTTATTGTTATTTCTCTTAATGATGGTGGACCCACTGATACTACACCGCGATAAGCTATGTGCGCAAAAAAAGGAGATATACAAGGGGAAGGAAGATAGGTAAGATACATACCAGCCACTTGAATATCTGAACATCTGACTCGAGGTCACCTAAGTTCTAGGCTGTGTGATAGGCCTGTCACTGTAGGAAGGCCACGCTCACACCATACAGAGGAGAAAATTGAAGCTGCACGCCGATCCCGGAAAGCCTATTATGCTCGGTATGTCATTGAAATATCAATGTCTCAAACCATTGAACATTCTATACCTAGTAACCGTGAGGAGATCCGTATCAAATATCAAAACAAATCAAATTCAAAGGCGTGTTTCTCGCACAACTATAATATTGTCACTTACCTGATCGCCCAGCTTGGACAATACCAGTAGCCTCAAACCGGCGCGCTCAGTACGAGATGCACACAACAAACGCAAAACAAATGGTATGTTATTTCATTTCGGCAGTAGTTCATAAGGCTAAATGATCTCGATCAAGGGCAGGCAATGCGATGACATCGATGCCAGCCTGCAGGTCCTTATTGGGTCATCGTCAAGCACAGCATTGGTTGAGGGCCTTTGTGAGCTCTTCATAGCAAACCCGGATAAGCCAGATTCGTTGGACGTCCTGCGGTCTGCTCACAATGGGTTGGAAGACCTCCTTATGCGTGCGCAAACTGTAGAAAACGATGTTCTTGAGGAATGTGGGACAGGGCAGGACCTCAGTCGGGCACATAGTTCTGTGTCTCATGTGCGCAGGGTTCTGGCTGACTTAGAAGACGTGTTTAGTCATGCCATGTTAGGTGTAGACTCCTTAGTTGAAGCGCATGAACAGCATAGACTACATCATCAACTTACCCAACACAATGTTATTCCTTAGTAGCCCAAAATACAACTAGGTAGTATAGAACTTGATTCAACACCTTTTGAAATCAGAGCGCCTCGGTGACAATCGGAAAATTCCGAGCTTGGAAAACTGTATTGGCATTACGCATTAACCTTGGCATCAAACAGTGACAACGCGTACGGAACCAAAAAAAGGTATGTTATGACGAAATGGATAATTAAGTATAGTCATATGTGATGCATGCTAAATGTAACACGAATAGATGGCGCCGCGTACATGGCTGAGCGAGGAACTGGCCTTCATCGCAACTTTTGAGGATGATTACCTCGAATGCCAAAAGAAGGGGAACTATACCACTTTTTGGCAACCCTTCTTCGAACAATGGGAGGAACGATGGCCCGCGAGGGCTTCCTTGTTTCCAGGTATTCCTATGGATCAAGTTCTCACGCGGCTCAATTAGAGGAGAACGAAAAATTCAAAGCCGCACTTCAGAAGGTCTATTTCTTATTTTTCATGCATGGTATTGGGGACTTACATTGCATCCAGCGCCTGACGGTCAAATTCCGTAATGATTATGGTAATTCAAAGCCTGGCCGCAAAGCGGCTGCAGCGGGCAATTCGGCTGTCCAAACTTCTCAGCAATATCGTTAAGGGACCCACAGCTGGTCGGAAACGTCCTCTCAAGGAAAGCGAAGTCTACGCTAAAAAGTATACTACTCGAGTCCAGGCCAGCGTTAAAGATGAGCTAAAAGCCATCAAAGAACAACCTGACGTCCCCGATCCCAAGAAGACGAACCTTCGGGTGATCCGAAAGCATGTTGACCGCTGCTGGGAGAATGAGTCCGTTGAGGTGAAAGAGGAAATCTCTCAACTTACGAGAGAGATGAGGGAAGCAGCGCGCGAGGCGGCGAAGGGGAGGAAATCATCTGAGGTGACCAATGATCTGTAAGTGTTATCTTCATGCCTGTTCCTTTGCTGATTGAAGACAGAATTATACCGAGACTTACAGAAATTCTCTCAACTTTCTTCGGAGAGCTTCATGAGGCCACAGGATGGACATTCAGCGTCCTCCTGGTGGCCCTGACCCATCAAATGGGGGTGCGATTGATGTCAGCAGCTTACATGTAGGGTCAACGAAACTCGGTAATCGATTTAACCACGCGTTTTCGAAGTTTAACGATAATGTTATGCTGCCCTACTACGAGTTTGTGTCTCATGTTTTCCGTATGTATCCAACTATTTTTTTTTCAAACATTTCACTGATAATATATAGCTGAAGCTGGGACTTCAAAAAACACCCGCTCCAGACGATATGCTTACAAACGATGATCCTCCAATGCCTATGCCTGTAGCGCCTGATACA